CATTTATTTTTCAAATCATTTCGGAGATTTAAAGCTTTCAACCCTTTGCGGACGAAGATGCTTTGAAATATATAAAACTTTCAGCACATGAAGCTGAATTATATATCGAATGCTTAAATAATAGAAGAAGAGGAAGCTACGTGCCGATTTCTTACTATTTGAGCAATTAAATCATTTGTTTACGATTTAGTATTCCAAATATGAAAATTTGATCTTGTCGGAATGTCGATATTTGTCCGCAAGGGGTTAAGATATCAATAATAAGAAGAATGGAACCCGTCGTTTTGACGAGTGTGAGTGATCCAGTCTTAAAGACTGAAAGGTAAATATCAATTTGCGGTAATGTCATCGAGAAATTAAGCGATCAACAAATACACAGTTCGTTCGATATGCAAGAGTAAAATATTGAAAACTGAAACATTTCAAGCGATATAGTTAGAACTAACACATTGATTAATTTCAACATTTCCTACAAAAAGAAATCCTACACAAGAAAAATGTATGCTAACACGTTAGCTTATTTGAAAAATTGAAATCTCGTAATTTGTAACAAAATTGAATTATTGAATTCAACAAATTAAATTCAATACGTCGCTGTTACAAAACATTTCGAGTCTACACAAAAACCTGTCATCGAAACCCTATGACTAAACGCGACAGTCAGTCATAAACCGCAACTTCAATGAGTAGATTCATTAGATATCAGTTCTTTTATTCAACATGTATCCTTTCGAAGTCAAACCCAATAGTATAAAAATTTGTCTCGATCGATCTGGCGTGACAATTCCGCCATTCAGCACGCTAACGATCGAGTGTTGACAAGGTGCCAGCCGGATAATCGTAGGTGCGAGTTCCGATATCAGAGAGATGAAAAAGACCGACGGTAATCCTTGCCGACTCACACAGAGCCGGTGTTCGGCTAACCGACGCGACGGTTCTTCCCCTCGAGCGACGCGCTCGCTCCTCGGGGATTTCGATAGAGTTTTTCGGATCGAGAGAAGTTCAGGAGTGGAGCAGGGCCAACTAAAAATCCCGTCGACCACCGAAGAAACTACTTTTTCGCGGGACTGATCCCCGGTTCGCGAATTTTCCCCAACGATTCGGGAAAAGTTAAGCAAACGTGAAGTTTCGTGGCCGCAGCGAGTGACTCGTCGCGAAATTATTATCGGCTTAAAGTTTCTAAGTACGCGCGTAGGAAGATCTCTGTCGCAATTAAAGTGATGCCGCGTAGGGTTTGGAATTTTTTGATTCGATGACAATCTTGAAAGATAAAATGTCTGTCGATAAGATTTAATGATGTTTTGTGTTTGTTTACGTGCATCGGACTTTTCAGCGACGATTATGCTTAACGCGGCAAATATTTGCCGGGTCGCCGGTGTATCAAAAATTTTGCCTACGCGTGGTGCTTCGAAATCCTGTAATATAATATAAAATTTTTGTTGAGCTTGATGAAATACTTGCAATATTCAAGCTTTCAATGATCCTAAAGATTCTAATAGACGCAAATATTAAATACTGAAAACACAGTTAAAATCATTAGAAACGAAATATGTGATTCGCGTTCACTCGAAAGAATAAAACGCGATATTCAAACACACCTCTAATACTTCCGTGAAAAGGCGACATTTCCATTCGAAAATGTACATTGACAACTTTAACGAACACGAATAAGTGACAACGCGAGCCTTATTCCCGGTATTATCATGCGAAAAGGTATGTACTTAGAAGTATTCGCGATAACGATCGGCTGCAATCTGTGCAAGCGAAAACTCGAAATTCGAAACGGCAGTAATTGTTCTAATATTTGGAGAGACTAAACGGTGATCTGTTGAAACGTAGTCCTCGGGTCATCGGTGAGACATAGTCGTCGCTTCGGTCTCTATGAAAGTTTTGACACCCTTTCCGAACTTTATCAAAGCCGTATACCTCGCATTACATTCATTAAACGGTACGTTCCGTCGAAATTGCTAGCTTTTCTCGTAATCTCGGCGAGTTCGGTGCCAGCCATGCTGGGATCCATACGCGTACCATTGAAAAAGTCTAAGGTCGAAGCTTATTCGTGATGTCTCGAAGGCCTCGCGAGCAGCTCTTATCGAGGAGTGGTGGATTAACGTGCACGCCTTTGATCTCGCCGGCCGGCCTTATCTAATCGTTTTCCTTTCTCCCGTTCCGTCCCGTTCCCTTCCACCTCTTCGCCCCCCTTCGTGCCATGGACTCCCTCCCTCTCCCTCACTCTTTCGTGGCTTTGTCCCGTTTCTTCTCATTTTGTATTTCGTATATACGCGTGTAATCGTCCTGAATGCCACGTTGAATTCACACCATCGCTCGATACGCTCGGCGGCGTCCTTTGCCATTTTTTCCCCTCTCCTACTCTTCCTTGGGCTCCTTCGCGGCCGGTTCTTGCTTTCTTCCGCGCGACTATACCCGTTTGGCGGATAAATAAAATCGATACTTCTCGTTCACTTTTTGTTCACCTTTTCGTCTGTTTGCTAGTACGATCTCTGGATCCCTATTAACCAATTAACTGTAGAATTTAGTTTGAGAAATCTCTCATTGTGCGCGCAATGAGATCAAATACTACAGCGCGTACTCGTCAAATGCAGAGCAAATGAATATATAATATATTCTAACGAAGAACCAAAGCAAAACGAAGAAGAATTACACATTTGTCTAAAAAAAAATGCATAATTTATCGTTGAGAATATTGGTATCACTTTGCGTTTTAAAATGACGTGTATACTCGTCGAACGCAGTTCAACTAGTTAACACGTTGACCGGCACGAGAATTTTGAGCATTTCGTATAATATCACTTTTCGTATCATAACAAAGACAAATGGTGTTAGAATTAGTTATTAATGGTTTGGTATCATAGTTCTTAAGTTATACTATTATTTAGTTACTCATGTTACTAAACATTTTAATTCGATATTAGTTTTCTTGTAATTGTTCGCAAGTAATTTGGACACGGATTTCGTTCTTGTCCGATATATTGATCGGCAGGACCTTTTTTGAAATTCAAATTAACACTAGAACTACAGCAGTTTCTTATTTCGAAATTACTGACGCAAATATTCCAATTTTCTTATTTCGCTATTACTAATATCTTAAAAGTGTTAAATATCTTGAATCATTGTAAAAGTAAAAAGTTTAACGTACATTCTATGATGGATACTATATGCAGTAACCGAGAAAAATCTATTGTGACCATTTTTATAAGGATTACGTATTAATACTATTAAACGCTCAGTAGTTAAATATCTTTGGTTCCATTCGTCATAGAAATGAACGTCGTTAAATATTGAGAATTTAAAAGTAAGGTTTCCGTTTTACTGAAACTGTTGTGTTGAGAGCACTGATTTGATCTTTATTTACTTTTGCATTTGAACAGTTTGCTAGCGTCGGTTAACGTTGATTATTCTGATAGTAAAAAAGTATGATATTATTGGTCTGTAAATACATACTTTTATGCTTCCTTAAAAGAAATGCAAAGTCCGAAGCCACGTTTAATTACTATAACTAAACATTTTCCAATATAATGTAGGTATGCACCAAATGAATATTTCCTCTAATGGCATGTTGAATGTAGAAGAGTTTTAAATTATTCATTTCAGCACGATGGAACTTCTATGTGTTTAGAATATCGGTATCCAACCTTTTCCTACGTACGCACAATTTAAATGATTATATAATAATATTGAATTAGTATATTTGATGAAAATGACGGAGAAATTCATATTATAGAAATATTAACTTTAGACGTTAGTATGTATGTATGTTATAGAAACCCAGATTATCTTAACACTATCTATTGGAAGCTTTATTAATCAGCTTTCGACTGTGAATGTTTAACAAGTGATAACCTATTGAAATAACGTCGGTTTAAGGGAAAAGAAATCGGAACCGCATAACGAGATTCTCTCGTATTTTGATTTTGTAGTTTCAAAGCTTTACAAATAGAAATACATGCTTCTATGTTAAGGTTGAAAACCAAATTGGTAGTTAATGAGTGATTGGCCTGATCACGAGCAGTAAATAAAGTGTTAATGTTGTCACATATGTCAATCGTAAAATATTTCTGTAGCACTATGGAATATGTTTTTGTTGAATCCTTCTTTTATTCACTCACAAAGCTTCAATATATTCATTGTAGAATAACACTGTTCTGTTATAGATGTAATAGGTATTTCGAGTTTCGTTCTCAATTTCGTTAACAAATAAATTCAGATTTTATTATTATTAATTTATTCAACCAATAACAGCATGCATCAGGTCCCTGTTTTGTCTCTCTCGTGGCATGTTACTGTTCGTACTCGTTCCTACCTGCCTCACTTCCGCTATCATTGGTCAAAATTATCACTGTTTAGATAGATTTTTAATCGTTAATAATTTGAAAACAGCATTATCTATATCGCATAATAATAACACTGAAAATTTAGACATTTTATTTATTACAACTGGGTATGAGTCATAGATTAGTTTCATTTAGGTAAGTAAGTTGTGTAAATGAATATTTTGCTAACGTGTGTGCCTACTTTTTTCTTAGTAGAATCACAACAAAAATAGTTGCGGTAAACAATTATAACAATGCATATAATCATTATACACTTTTATAAATTACAAGAAAGAGATTTTAGATTTCAATAATTAACGGATTTAGTTGTTCAGGAATTTCTGTTGTTCTTCAACATTTGATGCAAATAATTTGCATTTCTTCTATGTTCTGTGGGTTGATTAAGTACATCGACTTAAACTGAATTATTTCATATTTTTGTATCTCGCCGCATCGCGAGTTATCGTGTACATCGGCGTTTGCTCTCCTATACCTCAATGTTTTTAAATCTCGTTTGGTTACTTTATTAATTCCCTCGCGAGATGTATCCCTGAGTGGGATCGTCAAATGGTGTTATCTCTTTAACGCGTTATTGACAAGAGAATTAAAGTAGCAGATATTAAACGTGTAATAATGTCGCCTCTTATCTTGTTCTTCTCTTTTTTTCAGGAAAAACTCGAACAAAAGACAAATATAGAGTGGTCTATACGGATCATCAGAGGTTAGAGCTTGAGAAAGAGTTCCACTACAATCGTTACATTACGATCCGCCGTAAGGCAGAGCTTGCAGCCACTCTTGGACTCTCTGAACGACAGGTAAGTCCGAATTTTTTCATTCGTTTCATAATCCAGTACACTAGATTTTCGATGTCGTGGTTTGATACTTTGGAGACTAATTTGTTAATAATGTGTCGTGATAAATTCTTTGTGACTAATGTACGACTATGTAGAATGATTCTATAGAAATAGAGTTATGAATAACTATTTCATTTACATATAAAGACACGACAATGATTTCGAATACCAAAATGGCGAAACTAGAAATCATCTTGCAACTTCTCTGTGTACCATTTAGGGACGACGTCCATTCTCTATTTCTGTCAATTATTTCAAATTTTTCTTTCTTCCTTATAAACGTTACCATAATCTATTCGTAATTTCAGCTTCCTGGCATTTTTCATATCTAGATTTCATTCTAATCAGTAGAAAAAGGTAACTAAATCATAAAAAAAATAGTCGACAGCTTAGATCTGTATCAAAGTCCAAACCAAAAAAAGAAAAGTAATTAATATGCCATTCGTTAATACAATCAGTCGGTAATTAGTCAATACCGCGAACAAAACACAGCGAAAGACATGTTATCCTAGTCCCACCCTGACCGTCATCTTTCCATCAATGCACGGTGCTTAACCCTTCGCGCTGCCATTTAGCCATATAATTATAGCAGCCGACGCTAGCCAAGCGGATCAAAATGGTAGAGAAATGGTAGCAAAAATGTCCGACCACTTGTAAATCTCAGAGTCTCACTTGTAACATTTACATTTAACCTGAAAGTATAAACTCGAGTTTCACTCGTAACACGTATGTTTGCTCCAAAACCGTAATCAAGATTAAGACTCGTCAAAGTAGTGCAAGGGGATAACCCTTTGTACACTCATCATTTGATTTCATACAGTACAATCACAATACTTGATATTTAATAATAAACTTTGCACAATGGTTTAAAACGTGAAATATTGAAATAAACCAGCTTTGTCCCTTAATTCACATGCGATTTCTCTTCGAGTTTAAAGAAATATCGTTTGCAGCTCATTAAAAAGTAGGAAACATTTCTAGCGAGACACATCCGAATACAAAGGGACAATACTGATTTACAAACAAACCCGATGGAAATGTTCACAATCCTCCGTAAACCCTGAAAATCCAGTCCAACAGTTTCGAAGCCCGTTAACGAATGCAACGGTTACGTTTGTCTATTACAGGTGAAGATATGGTTTCAAAATCGGCGGGCGAAAGAGAGGAAGCAAGTGAAGAAACGTGAGGAATTAGAGCAGAAGGATACGAAACCGGTCGAAGGTGTACCGACCGGCGCGATGGCCGCGCTGAACCTCGGAGGAATGGGAGGGACGCTCGGTGGTTTGATGCAGAACGAGAGCTCGCCGCCCTTGGTCCTCGGTCAATCGGGGCACGGGTTGAGTCTGAGCCATTCGCCCGGCTCCCTGCACACGCATCTCCATCAGCACGCCCACCCGCACACTGTGTTGGGCTTGTGACCTCAAGATCCAATGGTCACCAATGCTTGGTCCAGCCACGGCTGACCTAGCTTTATCCCCTTGTCCCTTATTTCATTTCATTCTCTATTTCTTTTCCGTAGGCTCGATACACAATGTCGGTCCACAAACTGTCCGCAGAAAATTCTTTCCTTATCGATTGTTTCCGACGATGCATCGGCATGCATTACGTGAATAACTGAAGACTATTCTATTATCGAGAGAGCAAACCAATACTAAACTGCCAATGTGTATCGAGTCTTGCATTCAGCGATTCGCTGGCGGTGAGTGCGACGATGGCAGATCGTCGACGCATAGTACCCTGCCTGTCCACCGTAGAAAGGAGGAGGAAAACCGGAATCGGTGGAAACGTTATTGAGATGAGATACTCCAATAACACACGAGTAACAGAAAAACAAAAAAAATCTTAATGTTAAGTCGCGATTCAGGGATTGTTCCTGCTTTCGCCGGGTCGTTCTATTCATTGGCCCAAGCGAAAACGTTGCCCGACGTGTTTTCGTTTCGTAAAACACTACGAAGACCGGAATACGCGTTCGAATCGTCCGAAGATCGTTTGCGGTTTGAATGCCGTGCGAATTTTCGTTTTTACGAAATCCGAAGTGTGTGCGTGTCTATGTGTGTGCGTGTGTGTGTGTGTGTTCGGTTTGCCCAACGATTGCTGGCGGCTCGAGTATCGTTTGAATTTCAATTTTCATGAAAACTGAGATCCGCGTGCGACTCGAGTACAAGAATCGTTGAAGACTCGAATCTTCTTCTTCGTCCGAATTTCGTCTTTACAAAAAATCGGATCGCGTGTTTAATCCGTCCAACGATCGCGACAGATTTGAACTCTGTGTTTCTTGAGCGTACCGAAATCTTTTCGTCACCTGTTTTCGCTGATGGGAGAAGGGTGTGGGATGACGTTAACGATCTCGGGAGTTCGTCGTCACTCGCGGCGCGTTGTATACAGTATTATTTTCGATTTCGCTAGAACGAAGTTCCGTTTACGAATCGTTTCCTTCGTCTTTCCTACAATTATAGTTTTATTGTTCGTTCGATTCGAAACGATCCGGTGCTCGACTCAAGCCAGCTTCCGTTGTACTCGCCGGATTCTGTCTTCGGGAAGAGTTTCTCGGACTCCGATGCAGAGGAGTTTTGACGAGAGAAGGAGGAAATAATTCTGAAGAATGGAAAAAAATGTGCAATGTTTGCCTTAAACCGTGAGCCATTAGTATATACTTCTAATGAGTGATTGCGTCGAATGAGATTAGAGAATATTGAACACGTTACACGTTAGTTTAGCTTAGAAGTAAAAAGAAAATGGGGGATACATAAGCATAGAAACATGAATATATATGATATATATTTTTTCCTCGGTTAAGGTTGTCAACGATTGTTGCGTTCCAAGGGGGCGCCATAGCAGACTGTTTTATATATTTTTTTAAACGCGTTTAAACATATGTACAAATTAGACAAAATAAGAGGTGGGTCCGACGTCGGTTTCGTTGGAGGTCAAGTGATTTTTCATTTTCAGAGAACGTCTCGGCATGTCTCGGCAATTTAGTTGAAACGATTGTTGTAAATATTAGCGATTATAGGCTAATTAAACTGCTTCTCGATGGCACTCCTTTTTCGATGACGATAAACACGGATGGGATCAAGTGACTTTATATATTTCATACGATATATATATATGCCTATATATATATCTATATACCTACGTATTATATATTGGAAAAAAAATGATCACATAGTTTAAGATAACTAATCATCACCATTATTTCGTTTATTCAGCCCAGTCGGAAATTATTGACAGTGTTATTAGCACAAATCAGCGTCATTGCACGGTACTTTCGGAAACAATCGATGGACAGTTAATAGAACACAATATGCTTTTGTTGCGAAATTATGAATACAATAAATGATGTTTATAACGGTGGAACCCCTTGGTACTGCATTATTATATACAGTATTCACATTCTCTTGTTTAAATGAAAAAAAAAGAATAAAATGGAGGAGAAAAAGAACAAAGAAATCGAGGATCACGAAGTTGTCGTTGCTTTTCGCACAGAGACTGACCGTTTTATTCTCTTAACAGATAACCGCGACTTGGACGCAACGATTCCGTGTAACAGTGATAACAGAACGCTCCGTGTTCGCCGAGAACCGACTAACCGATTTGTACCATAAAACCGTATCTTTTCGTACAAGATCTTTCCTTAGGAGTGTAGCTACCCCGGAATGTCGTAAGATGGTATTACGAATGAAGCTTTATTCCGAGAATAGTGATATATCGCGATGATAGTCGATAAAATAATAGAAACAAGAATGGCATCTGACGGATCGAGTGTTTCGCGAGGGTCGTATATACCCGTCTTCGTAAAATAATAGGCTCCAAAACATCACATCGTAGAAAACGATTTCTTAAATAATCGTTGAAAAGAACGTTGTTTCATTTCGTTGTCGATCGAACGAGGATCGTGAAATTAACGTCGATCGCCATGGTACAGAAGCGCGCGCGACCATTTGTAAAGTCGTCTGCAAAAGCTTCATCGATAACGCATGCGAATTAACAAAAACGGAAAAGAAATTATAGCTCGAGTAAATTCAAGTTGAATTTTCGGACGACTTTGCGACGAAGCGACGCGTGAGCCGCCATCTTGCGAACATACCGGAACATTGCGCCGCCGTCAGATAATGCTTGTAAATCTTAATATATGCGCAAACCGAAGGAAATAAAATTGTGCGGTCGCGTGTTATTTAGTATTGCATCGTTGAGAAGTACCCTTGTACAGTTCTAGGCTTGTTAAGTAGTGACACTGAGGAGAGGAGAGTGAGACGTGATCGCTCTTTCTTTTCTAAACCACTCGTTAAAGTCACTGGTCCGAGAAAGCATCGAGACAGCGTTCGTCGGTGTTTCGAGTGACTTTTCATTAAAAATATCTATGAAAAGAGTATCTTGATCAACGGGAAGCGAATTTTTCGAAGATGGTTCTTTTATTGTATCGTTTTTAATATTCTTACTGTTATCAGTTTTATATTCGATATTTGAACGAGTTTTCATACGATTTTTTAATGTTATTTCCTTTTAACGCGTGAATTGCATGAATTGTTTAGGTTCTTAACACGACAATAAAAGAGAAAAAAGAAAGATCACGTTCTTGGATAGGGAATGAAGGAGAACAAGTGGTTTTACTAGCCGTGTGCCTTGAGCATTTGTCATCGTTTAACACGCAATTACGATTTCGCTGTATTCGTGTGTGGATGTGAATCGAAATAGATTGTAATCAATTTTGAAATCTCACTTGAAAGATGTATATATTAATAAGTATCGCAGTCCATAAGTTATTACATTAGTTATTAACATTAATTAAACTATAAATGTTAGTCCATCGTTAAGTCTAGTATTATATTGATATGTGATCGCATATAAAAGTTTCCAAATACACGGTCTTATGTTTAGTAATGTCATTCTTTATTTCATTTCATTCCTTTAATACCACACATACACTATTAACTTACCAACATTTCAAGTAACTTTAAACATTCGATTAAAATAACATTAACAGTAACTCTAACTCGTAACACATACTATTCCATAAGAACTAAAACAATGAAAGTCAATTTCAAAATAAACATAACTTCTCTATAAAGAATATATTATATTTCTCTATATTCATTACAAACCTATATTAAAAGTCCCCAACTTTACTCAATTACCATCAACTAAAATATCCTCCACTTCTTTTAATACACAGTCCTCCAATATCATTTTCTTCCCAAACATCTTCATCTAAATATACGCAATACATTAATAATCAGACAAACACCGGATCCCAATAAAGACTGCAGAACAGTAGTGATGAAAGTAACTCGAAGAAAAAAGGACCGTTACGACTTGTTTGTCAATGGTCTCTCGGAAAATAGTACCCTCGATGCGACTCGGATTGGTCTCATTAGTTTGCGCATGCATACACGTTCCTATAAAAAGGTGTAACGTGGATTACGCGAATGTTAGATTGTGTAACCGATCCCGTCGAAGCTGTAGGCAATGGTTGTGCGGCAGGAGGAGACGAAGCTCAGCGAAGGTGGCAACGAGTCCCGCGGGAGCCCTCAACTTAACTACCAGATCGATGTCCGACCCCAGCCCCTCTTCATCCCCTGAAAACAACCACCGCGAACGCTTACACACAACTACTGTGTTACCCCCGCGCGCCTACTCGTCGCTGGTAGTCGTTGAACGTCGATCGGAGAACAACTTGGCGAATTTAAGCGGCACCGCGTGTCAACGATGACTCCGCCGCGGCGTCGAGGAAAGTTCGTGTAAACAAGGGAAAGAAAAAGAAATGGAACGGTTGTTTTGCGGGAACTGCGGCCGACGTTACGATCGTTCGCTGAGACGATCGAGCGAGAGGAAGAGATTCGTGTATCGGGCTCTTCCTTGCGGTGAAGCATTGACAATGAGCGTTAAATTGTCCTCGTATCATTTTTGCCAGTTCTGTAGTGACTGTTTAAGATTGATTCTTAAATATACTGGTACTAAGTATTTACCTTAATAACTTCGTTGCCTTGTGAAGGTTTCTAGCTTAGTAGTTCTGATTATTCTGTTAATTATGATTGTTCGGGATAATTAGGGGATGGAATATATAAATTATTTGATGGTATTGTATCGAATTTAAAATATTTTGAAGATTGTATATGATGTGGTAAGGAACATTGTAAGTATTCGATTATGTGATTAGCATGTATAATGATTTGCATTGGAGGAAAAGATATATTTCTTCTGTGATTGTAGGTAAAAAAGTATGGCGAATAATTCAAAGGAAAGAAAATGGGCAGAGATTAATAGTTTGCAAGAGATTATATTTTGATGGTCATTAAATGGAAAAAACAGTTTTCTTTGCATAGATTTAATTTTCCTGTAGTTTTGGATAGAAAAGTATTACCTGTGAAAGTATTCATAATAATTGTTACATTAATAGTAAATCATTACAAATTCATTTTAATTAATTGAGTTATGATAATAAAAATTGTACAATTAAGCAAACATAATTCGAGTGTCTATTAATTTCGCTTAACTTATACGACATACGTCCATAATGTTAAATAATGACACAAAATATTTATTACTGTTACAAAGAACGTGCTCATCGGGAAAAATGATTATACATTAAAACATTGAAGTAGATATTGATTTGATTTGTCTTGTCTGAAAATTTTCTTTATTTGTCGTTTATTTAGTAATATATGTTTTACAAATTTATATTTTTACATCTTGTAATATAAAAATATTTACGCTTGAAATAGTGACTTTAGAAGAAGATTTAACTATGTACTTTCGTACATAATTTCTAAATAACATAATAAAACAATAATTACTATTTCATAATTATTGATTTATTCTGTATCTATACTATTCAATAACTATCTATATTATTAGCTTTATGAATAACAATGTCTTTAGAAACCACACGTTTTCCCCATAAAATTTCCACGTATTTACAATTTATAATCCTGAATGTGCAAGATCGACCTTGGGGAAGTCCAAAACTGGAATGTTAACTGGTCCAGGGTTCCGCCAACCCTCTGAAGAAAAGATCAAAAAGTGCTTTCCTTTCCTCAAACAACTTGTTGTCGTTATAGCATATTATACTGTTGCGGCGTGGACAGTGAAAATCAAAATCGAAAGAAGGGAAGATAAAAATAGGTGGAAATCAAAATCAAAAGAAGGGAAGGTAAAAATAGATGGAAAACGAACGAACGGACGGACGTTTTTGAATTCAGAAGGAAACACCGTCAGGTCGGCAACCCGTACGTAATTGGACCCCAAGACGCAACAACGTTTCACGTATACCGAGAAATTCCGGAGGACGCATGAGGGATACCTTTTTGTTCGAGTTGCACGGTCCAGTCGGTCCAGTCGAAAACACCAAATAGATACTTTTATGGCGGGGCCATAAAGGCCCTGCATCGAGTATCGATGGTTCCAAAGGGGCTAATCTGCGGATGAAAACTGTAATAAAACGTCTCCCCCCCTGCGTATGTATTCGAAATCCTTTTGCAGCAAGCGGGCCCTTGCTTTACGCGTCGAACTGCTCAGGTATACAAAATTCCCAGATCTTGAGAGGGAAATGGGGAAACTGCCAGGTCCACTTCCCTCTCCTTTCGACGATGACATCGAAACTCTCCAACAATTACGCACCTTGTACCTTAGAATTAAAAATAGAACTTTATCCGCCAGTGTTTGCTTCTCGGTTCCCCGGTATCGCTGGTACGTATTAGGTATTGTTCTATCGTGTTTGATGGTTAAACAAAACAGGAGGTTAGAGTGTGTTGATGTAAAGGATACATTTGTTTTTCCCTTCTCGGGTAAAATTTTAATTCTAGAAACACCGCTGGGGGGAAGTAATGTTCGTTAAATGGAAAATTACCTATGATACGTTGATATAGCAGTTTGTGGAAACAGAAGAAATTATATGCTTTGAGAAAACTGAATTTATTTAGTTTTTGAATAAAAATTTTTATTTAAGATGTAGTTGAGAAAAATTCACTTATTCTTAGATGTGTTTTTTAAGAAATAAAAGAAACATAAAGAAATAATGGAAGAAAGGCGTATTATTAAATTATAAGAATTATTAAGTCACTTTGATAACTTCTTATTTATACATTTTAACGTATAGCAAATATAATTTATATTGCTCTGTATGTATCGTAAAAAGTACATTTTCTATGAAACTTTACACCTTAGGAATGAAAACTACCTATTAATATTTTTAACTAAAAGATATTCTAATTCTAAATTAATTCTGTATTCTCAATTAACATGTTGAACGCCGCACGATTTCACAGAGGAAAATACACAGAATGGAAAAAATATGATATTAAATCATTTGATTGAATTGCATTATTACTATTCTACGTTCATCCAGCTAAATGTCACTGTATTATGTAGCATTATTTACAATATAGAAATGTTTTCATATAATTGTCGTTTCATTGAGTGAACTATTCTGATCTCATTGAGTGATTTATAGCAATTCGTTTTGGTCGAGGGTCACCGGTGACCCCCATGACATTCAACGTGTTAATGATTTAATTAATAAATTAATAAAATTTAATTCTATATCCAACTTTATTTGATTACCATACCTATAACCGACTTTAAAAGTGTATGTGTGTATTTTGAAACAAATGCAAATTTTTCTCAACTGTCAATTCAATTGGATTGTCAATGGTACAGTAGCGTCATCTCGTGGTACAAGAAAGCACTACCAGGAAATTTAAAGCAATTCAAAATCATGTGGACATCTCGGGCAATAAAATATTGTATTTATAATTTTGAATTACCAGTAGCAAATCTAATAAAGTTAAAATGTTGCAAATAGTTTTATTTTACATGAAAATAATGTTTACGAGAGGGATTTTTGGTGATGCACACGTTAAGATGCAAAAGTTTTCAAAAAGGTGTTTTATCATTTAAGTGTCACCCCCTGTAATTGCTGTAACTGTTATGCTTTGATTTGTTGACATTCTATTGATATCTTGATTTTGCATAGGAAAAATGTTTACGAGAAGAATTTTTGTCAATTCCAAAAAGTTGAGATACAAAATCTTGCAGAAAAGCCTTTTATTATTGTAGTATCACTTTCTACGACGCCGACAGTACATAAAGGAAATTATAATAGTACTCCATATATTTTCTTCGTTAATTCGACATACATACACATTTTATATTTTCTAGTAATTGCATAAAAGGATCTGTTCTAGTTCTTTTTACTTCATATTACCACAAATATTCACGCATAAATATTCGAATATAAATTTAATATAAATTTAATATAAATATTGAGTGTTTTACACATTTATAGAATGTGTAAAACTGGAATGATTTTTGGCGACTATGAAGTAAAGGGGTGGGCGGGTAAAGGCACAGTCCATCCCCCTGCGTACGCTACCCTAAACAAGGAACTCCTCTCATATTGGGAATCAAACATTAAGATACCAGAGGGTGGCTTAAGACTTTGTTTGGGCGTCATCGACTACCTGATACCAGGCACGAGTTTATGATGCGTCAATCATTATTCAAAGTTAAGTATGTACCAAAGCGCCTTATCCCTCATCTGGGAGCCAAAATTATAGTAAATATTTGACAATATACTAATTTCCATCGTCTTAATCCCTTACCTGCGAATTTCTCTACAATGTCCCCTGATATTTTTCAAAATAACTGTTTCCGTATGCATTATGACGGAAGAGATATAGCATAGACATTGCAAGCTCGATTACCGACTGTGTACAAAGTCAGAAATTTTACTCTACTCTCTACGCCAAGAGAGTGGTTAATAGGAAAACTACATCAAGCAAAACGATCGAAGTCGACTAGGTAGTAAATATATCTGAAATACCGATATCGTAAAAATGCTTGATGCACTAGCAGCCTCCACCTTCCGGAATCGAACAATCAACTACTGAAGTATATAAAAGCGCTACATGAAAAGTATGTGCCCTGGGCGGTCAATTTTTACAATGTTGGCGGTTCTAATAATTATTTTGTTGCCAAATTTGGAGAGTTAAGTATGTGTGTATGCATCTTAAGTCTGTGTTTTAATATTTTTTATTCTAATTCCTATCGCGATAGCGCTGCCGTGCACAATAAACCTAAGTCGATATGTTAGGACGTAACACAAAAATGGTAAGGGGGTCCTTGGACCCCCGAAAACGCGAGGCAAAATTTTACATTGCATGTTATGTCTATCCTATACCTCGTCTGTGGTATTGTGAATTATGCTATACCACAACGGTAACATAGGAAGTGATATTACAATGGTAAAACGTTTTTTTTTCAGAAAATTATGTATTCTAACTTTAGAATTGCCAAAAACCATTTTTGTAAACATTTTTTCTATCGAAAATGAAGCTTTCGCTCTATCGATGGAATATCACATCAATCAGAACATAAAAGATTCAGAAATTACAGGGAGTGACACTAAAACGATAAAACACCTTTTTGCGAATTTTTGCATCTCAATCTTCAGCATTGCTAAAAATCCTTCCCGCAAACATTGTTTTTATGCAAAATAAAGGTATCTGCAAAATATCAAAATATCGAGTTTATCAGGTTTTCGGAAAATTCACCGCATATAGTGTATACATTGTAAATTGTATTACAAAATGTTAAAAAAATATCATTTTAAGTTATCGTGAATTTGAGCAAAAAATTTCGTAAATGATGTATTTGTAGCTTATGCTAGTAATTGATTCAAATAATTACGAAATTTATCAGAAGTAAAAAGTTCTTGTATAAGAACACATACTTTATTCACAGTTATTAAGAAAAATTCTTGCTTTATACAATTCTATATTATAACAAATACTGAATATTATTTAATGTATAATGTTATCTATAAACAGTAATGTATAATAAGAACAATTTATGAAAATTATTCTTAATAGTAAATTATATTTTACAATAAGCATTATATACGCTTGGAATGTATTCTTTAAAATTATAAATGAAAATTTGAACAAAATTGAAAATACAATTAACCATTTCTTTCAGTTACTGACATTCCATATATGAATTTTTTATTTTCTGTATTAGGCATATATAATTAACATATTTTTGAATAAGAATTCTTTTAGTAAAATAAAATGAGGAAAATTAGCTTAATTATAACACAGATTTGAGAAAGGTACATAGACATTAAAATACACAATTTATTTTGTGGATGTTAATATTGTATTGGAAATTAAGAAGCAAATAATATGTCATTGAAATTTTGCAGTGTTACCCACAATTATTTGTAACACAAGTGACATAGTAAAATGTTTCATAAAAATGCAGTAAAATTATCACGGCCATTTATGTTTCTTGTATTTCTACATCTAATAGAATCGGTCGAGTATATAAGTAAAGTGATTTACAAATAAATTACTAAAATTCGTACGATCTTACATTGTAGATGAAAAGCACATGCAAAAGCATTGTAAAAGTGATTATTCTAGGAAAATAATGCAAAAGCGATAGGCTTATTTGCTAATAATATTTTCTTTTATAAATATAATATCAGGGTCCACGTAAGTGAAAAGAAAGAACGTTATCTTGTACTATTCAATTAACTCATTGCACGCGACAAATGTTTATAACAAAAATTAAGGTTAAAATTAATTGTATCAATACACCAACATCAGGGAGTAGATTAGGCATCAGTATTTTTTAATATTTCACGATATAATTAATTCTGTGACTCAACTATGACAATAAAATTCTTCATTTCGCAGTGGAGGTAAGTCAGGAATCTAAAAATCTTGTAGAGTAAAGATGCTATAAAAATATTGTTATTGATCTTGTAAATCAAATTAGACTCTAAAAATTACCCGTCAATAATGTATTAACATGAACCTTCATTTTCGTTATAGTAACTTTATGCTCGCTTAGTTAATGAAGCGATGTTAAAATATTCACAATACGTAAAAAATAATTGCGAAATTATTAATATGTGAAAAAGCATATTTACATAACTTCATTCTCCTTCCTTGCATGGAAAAAAGGTTTGTAGAAGACAGCGACAAACATCACTTTTCTTCAAATAGATCTTACTATTGTAGGCAGAGATATTTTGATTATTTTCATATATAATTTCAAACTTCCATATGAAAGTAAAAATTGTCTTTTCACTGTCCGATATATTCGTTATCGCTGACAAAGAACTTATATTCAAGTAAAATTTATATATATATACGTATATAATTCTATATTGTCAACCACATATCTAACTAGGAATCATTGTAATCAATTCGCTATAATACCGTAAAACATTTTGAATCTATTTACAATTGGCAGAGATTATTTCTTGACAAAAATAGAATAAATAAACGTTTTTATAAAATTTCACTAATAAAATAATTATCGCAAGTCCAAATAATTTTATAATATACTTGTAGTATACAGGGTAAGGCACTTATCTCGATCACTTCGAATAATTACTTAACGGTACAGTTTATGAAAACGTTGAAACATGGGATTTAAATGGCATCAGAGAGCACATCTTGTAAGGTGCGTGCTTTTTTATGGGTGATGACGTTTCAGAGATTTCAAGGTCACAGGACATATGAAGGTCAACATATTTATACTCAGAATTTGATATTTTATCGAACTATCGTACAAAAAGTAGGGCGTTCCAGTAAAAAAAAATCAAGGTGACCTTGAAATCTCTAAAACGCTTCCACCCACAAAAAAGCACGCACCTTATAAGATGTGCTCAGTGATGCTATTTAAATCCCATGTTTCAACGTTTTAAGTAAATATTCGAAGTGATCGAGATAGGTGTTTCACCCTGCATAATCCACACAAAGTCAATAACCATTTTTATGACTAGGCATTTGGATCAATAAGGAATTTGCTCCTGAACTTATGACTTCTTTTGCAAAGGTAGAATAATTTTATGAAATATGCCTGTGTTTCTATCCTCACATCAATTATACTTTTGCAATAGATCATAGGACACTGACTAACATGTTTTAAAAAGCGTTCTGATCAAATGTGAAGCACGTGTCAATGTTGTTCGTAATGATATTGTAAGGGCTACTTTTTAGTTGTACTATTAACGTGTACGGTAAAAATACTATCGTTAGTATTGTGCGATAAGATTGAAGTTTATAGATCTAGCAATCATGAGCATTTATATAGTTTTTAAATTTCTATACATTCCTTCATCGAATACTTCCTAATGGAAACCATTCAATTATTTCACTTGTTAAATCCAAACGTCCAAGTGGTAAACGTATTCCACCAAGGAATTCATTTTCTTGTAGAGTGTCATGATTCCATATTGTAGCTTCTAATGTCCTTTCTTTAATAACATCCAAAGCCATTCTATATTCCAACTGTAATGAACAAATTGATATTTTATGCACGCAACATATTTCATGTGATTAGAAATGATGAAAACACTTTATTTTCCTAATTTATTACCATTTCCATAAATGAAGGATGACAATTCTTTTTCACAACTTTTGTTTTCCTTTTGGTTTTCTTTGTAGGATCAGGTTTTAGATATACCTTTACATATGTGTTTGGCTCTTGGCCATTAGCAACTTTAGGCAATCCCCGTGCATGGTGTACCATTACGTGGAATGCTCCACGAGTGTAGTGAAGCGACATTTTAATTTGTCCACTTTGTACATTATCCCTAACTCTCTTTTCAGCCCACCAATTTCCAACTATTCGATAAAAAGGTAATAGAATGTTTATATTACTTTTAATTGCTGTATAATTACATTTTATAAATCTTACTGTACCTTTTACTTTACGTAAATGTATATCAGCATTTTGTTGATCTCTCAATAAAGGATGAAAGAATGTATATACTAAGTCACTCTGTGAAATTTCTGGGGCCATTTTGAATAAACTTATAAGGAATTTTTCAATATCTGCTCGACGTTTATCGGCAACTTGTTTTATATTAGACCTCCCAACACTTATGCCACTTGGTAAACTGCATTGCGTGAAAAAAAATTATATTAAAATTAGTTACATTAGAATAATCATATTAACCTTTAGTAAATATACATATATTTGTAATTTGTATTTTATACATTGGAAGGAATATTTTTCATATCAAAGATTTTCATTTGATTAGATAGCATGACAAAAGATAACACAATTCGAAGTTGACAATGAAGATATAAAATACTTTTCAATTAAAAGTAACAATACAACACATTCTTTTTATATGTACAGTCGTTGCAATTTCGTACAATATAGTGTATACAAACTGTATTAAAGCTGTGAAGAAGAATTAATTTTTGAAGGTATGTACTGTTGAAATATTTTTAATATAATAAATTTATTTTATATTTTCTCGTTTTCAAGGAAAATCTAAAATAATTAGAAATGGGACTCTCACAATTCCGCGCTCAAATACCGATGCAACATAAAACATCGAAACTTCCTACACCAGAAGTTTATAGAAAAATTACACAATCTGATTACCCTCTTTGTAAGCGACCCGGACCATCTAATACATCCCAAAAGCATGCAAATGACAATTTAGAAAAAGGTAATTGACACTGATTTGAAGCAATTAAACAGCTCAACATAATGAGAAAACGAGTGGAAACCAAAGTAAATAATTTCTTATCAGTTTATATACAATTGAAAAATGTTAAAAATAAAAACATACATTAGCAGATGAAGTATAAAAGAAACTTAATTGCAAACTATTAATAAAAATGAAATTGAAATAAAAGTATACTTTCGCAAAATGATGATAAATGAGCAATTCTTTTTTCTTTAATGAAATGTATGAAAGTTACAACCAGTGGTAATATTTTACAACCTACGTAAAAGTGCGCATTACTTACCTAGCAACTTTCGCAAGTGGAAAATGAATACACAGTTTTTGATAAAATTCACAAAATTCTTTGTACGAACGAAATAAATAAGTAGGATCTGCATGACCTTTCCGCTGTATACGCAGAATATACATATAATATTTTTCAGGGTCATATCGTTTTTGATATCCATGTACTTGAACACTTGTAAGTTGACCTTCTTGTTGCATTCTGCAACAACCAAGCAAATAGTTTTAAAATGTATATGCATTATATAATTTTATAAAATTCTCAATAGACTTACGTATATATGCGTGGAATAAATGATAATAGTGCACCATCATTGTGATCACCCGAAAATCTTAGTTGTGCCAAGTTATGCAAGAAGAAATTGAACTGTGTGAACCAACTTTTAAGTGAACTTTCGATCATTCGCGCGAAGGTTGCCGCTGCTTCAGGATTCGTTTGTTCCGGAAGAAGTGCTTTTTGTACATAACTAACTGCATCCACAGTCACACCAGGAATACCAGATGAAGTCATCTGTGAGTTTGTGTAATTATTCATATTAGACTTGTTCATAAATTCTTTGATTTCAATATCAGTAAGCTTTGATTCTATAATTCGTAGTTTCTGAGAGGCAGACACATTATTTTGTTGACGTAATAAATTATCCATTTTTATAACGTTTTTCGTGCACTTCCGGTTAAACAACTTGTAGTAAAATAAAATTTTCTTATATATAAAATCACACTGCACAGAATTTCAAAAAATTCTAATTATTAAATTATTAGTCCTCGAACTAAGTAGTTAACACTTCTCTTAATTTGGACCGCTGCAGCATATGACATTATGAGACCTCAAACGATAAAAGCCAATTAACGACGTATAGCGTACAAACTTAGTGTGATACGGGACCGCTTTCTGATAAAGTGCATGAATAAGTCTTTCCGTTGCGGTTTGAAACAAAATAATGGCTCATATCATTATATTATCCAGTTAAAAATAAACTCCTTTGCTTTTAAAGGAATTTCTTTCATAAGATAAACAATTATATTACGATAACATTAATAGTAAGTTTCTGTTTCATGATAATATAATGGTGTTAAAGTATACAATATAGGATAAATTAATAATCATACCAATCCAAAAAGATGCAATATCAGATTTCCATGTTTTCGTACAACATTAAATGCTTGACAACACAGATCCACGAAATGATGGAATTTGGCTGAAGGTTTATCACCACCGTTTATGACATATGCCATATCAGAAGTTAACACAAACGGTGTTCTGTCCCTGATTAGAATATTATAAAATGACTTTTAACTAAAAACATAAAATACACAAAGGTAAAGGATTCTTACCTTTTAAAATTACCAAACATTTGTGCGTCTCCTAAGAATTTCCCAAAATCAATGTGGAACAAATGACCTGATGTTTTTAACATAATATTGTCGTTATGTCTGTCACAAATTCCTAAAATGTAAGTGGCAACGCTATAGCCCGCACAAGATGCAGTAAAGTTTTCAACAGCTCTTTCATATTCTAGTTCTGAAGGATTGTGCTTTGCTAACCATTCAGCGATTGGTCGATCTTTAAAAGAACCAGTTAGACCGAATTCAACCTGTATTTTTCGCAATGTTTCTGCATCTGCAACCATTTCTATCATTCCACGTTTATGCCCGGTAGGCACGCAGGCGAATGTTACCATTTTCAGATCAAGGCCTTCTTTTAACCAAAGTTTATCCATAATACGAACCATTTGAAGAGTTAACATATCTTGTTGTAAATCATCGCCAGCCTTAAAAAGTAATTTAGTGTAAAGTAAAAGATAATAAATTTTGTGATAAACGCTTATGCAATAAACTTACTTTAAAAATCGCTGGACAAATAACGTCGTCATTGCTAATGAAACTGATTTTCAATGGAAGAGTGAATGATGGAAAATATGAACAGGTTTGCACGTTTATACCAAATACTTGTTTACCAGGTGACAATGGTAAGCATGTACCTTCATCTTCCATTAACTGACAGTGTATATTTTGTAAGCCAACTTTAAGAGCATCTATCCGCAATGACTCTTTTATTAGTTTAATATTTTCTGCCACTTCGTGTAAATTCTACAAGAATATCAATTAAATTGTTGCTTATATTAAAAGTGTACAATACACTATTTTAAATGCATACTTTAACTAGTAATTGTTGCGTGAGAAAGCTGTTTCTTAGTGCATCGCCAATCACAGCCAGCAATGCTCGTAACATCAATTGTAACCTCCTATGGTAACGTGCATAACTAATATTTTTGTCATCTTCTGGAGTAGCTTCTGCAGAATTCTATAAAATAAACGAATAGAAAGAATTGACAGCCTTACCTACCAAATAATTTCAATGACACTACAAACTTAAAAATTAGAGTTTCGATACTTAATAAATATGGAAATTTACAATTAATACAAATTTCAACAGATTCAAAAAACCTTCAAACATCATATACAGTATTATACAGCTTTTATTCTTTCAATTCATGAGAATTGTGAAGAACATGAATTTGTTAATAATGTCTATAACTATCATATAATCTGTACCTGGGGACTTTGTCCCGGTAATGCTTGCGTTAGCAGCCAATAAATATGATGAGCTACTCGCGGCGAAATTAATGCCCGTTCTATTAAAAATCTCGTAAGGGACGAAGTCTCGTATGTCTCGTGTTTTAATGCTTGCAACAACTGCGGCAAATAATCCACGAGTTCATCGTTACTCAATTCCCGGATCCAACCGACTGCCATTTCTCTAACTTTCATATCTGGAAAGCTATAATATATCTATGATTATTTTAGTTATAAACAATGTTTATTTAAATTAATCATTTTGAACGTTAAATTACCAAGGTAATAATAATTGTAGAGCTTGAACTGGAGGCAGAGGACTCCAAACTCTGAGAGATGCGTGAAGATCGGGTAGACATGCCCAATCCCAACTATGTGCAGCTAAAAGCACTTTAGGCAAAGCTTCTGGTATATCGTGTAAATAATGACGTTTCTCCCATAAAATTTCTCTGTCTTCGATAGCAGGTCTATAAACGATAAAAACAAATATTAAAAATACATTAACAATGATTATTAAATTAAAATTAATACCTTGAGAATGTTGTTTGTTGCGTAATATCTATCAATAACTCTTGAGTATTCTGATCTAATGAATTGAAATCAAGAGATTCAACATCATAATCTCTCAATTCGGTTGGAAATAATACTTTTCCCCCATAATCGGGCAATTCTAAACCAATAATAGGGTGCGTATCCCCATGGGGATGAATTCCAGGTGCTGGAGCAGGTCCTAATCTTTTATCAGCAATCGCTGGCCAAAAAGATAGGAAGAAACTTCCTTGACTCATAACTCTACAATAAAAACAAAATGTATAGAATAAAGTACACTGTTTTGTATTTTATAACATAATTAATTACCCTTCATAATCGAAAAATTGTATAGCACCCCAACCCAATTCTTCCTTTTGCATTGTATTTTCCGTAGACGAATTTGATTCGTGTTCAGTAGGTTGTAATGTGCGACCATATAAAACTAATACCAATCTAGCTTCTCTTGGTACTTGACATACGCTTATACCATGGAACTCCAACCTTTTTCATTAAAATTCTAATTTAGATTCGAAAAATAAGATACCATTTTTAAATAATAAACTACAGAAACATTACCATGAATTGAATAAAATTCTAGGATAAAAATTAGAACTGACTGCCATAGGTTCGGACAAAACTGGGTTTCCAACAGGTCTAGTTCCGTGAAATATTTGGGCCGCAACAATATAATCATCATGCTTCCATGATCCTGGTAGCCTATGTAATGCGCCAACACGAACTAACACAGTGTCCAATACATCAGATGATATTAAAGTATCTGTCATATAAAACAATACGTATATTACATTTCGTTAAAAATGACCGCGGAATAAAATATGTAATATAATGATGTTACTTGTTGGAAATTCTCCCTTGGTATTCAGTTCAAAGTCAACTCTAAACGCATGGCAATAAGTTTCTACAAGATCTTGAATTGCGTCGCGAATTTTACGACAGTGAGAACCAATTACATCTGGAAATTTTGTTCTTAAAGTCACAACGGAGTAGTCGCCATCTTCATGTAAGATTTCAGGTTTCTTGCACTCAATATTTGTTGTATGAACTTGGGGTAAAAATTGACAGCATGCGTTCACAAAATTATCGACAGCTTCTGTGATTTCAAACGTTTCTATATTTCCCATTAGCGCACAGACTGCTTTCACTGCTTGAACAACGCCACGAGGTTGTAACTGTGGTAAAAGACTTGACCTATCATTTGCAGTCGCTAATTGTATAGCAGCAGTTTCTACACGTTCCATTTCTTTTTCTACGGTTTCTACAATTTTCATAAAAATATTTGTATTTATATTATTGATATTTTTACGTACGTTTTTATTATGGTATAATAAAATAATCTTACTACTTTCGTACCTAATAAAATTAGTAGTGTATCGTAAGAAATAGGTTGAACAGGTTCATTTGGAAGAATATCTTCTAATTTAAGACATTGGTCACGATTATCATCCTGAAGCTATTGGAGAAGTTAATATGGTTATAATTACTTATAATATTTTAATTACAAATATATACTTACTGTTCGAGCTATGGATCTTTTAATTTGTGCTTTTGTTTGGATTGCTAATTCAATATCCTTTTCTAGTTTAATACACTGATGTATATACTCATATTGAGCTAAAGTTGTATTAGGTGCAAAATATTCTGCCAATCCCAATACTCTCAAACAATATTTTTCTATGTTCACTGTGTCTTCATCTTCTAACGAACAGGCGACGTTAAGAATAACATGTTCAACACTGCAATTGACTGAAAACAGACATTTATACAGCATTAAATTATTACAATTTATCTAACACACTTTAAAAGCTTACCGTTACAAGTAAATGAAATGGACGGAGTATCTTCAGAATCCATTAACTGAGGATGTACAACCAATTTTATGCTTGTGCCATCAGGATATAAATTTTCTATCATTGGACTGATTATATGTCCAATATTTGTACTGGGATCATTAAATGGAAAATCACCTGTATATATTTTACTTATTAGTATAATGTTGAATAATTTTAGAAATAACGTATGGTATTTTACTGATTTACTAACTTCGCACAGATTTCATCATCTCGTGAAAAGCTTTTAGATCACAATCATGTAGCGATGGTCTAGTTTTCCTTACTGTTACATTCTCGTATAAACGAGTCTGTCGTTTTTGCTATGAAAATTGAGAATATTAAAATTTAAATTACTAATAATTTTAGAATATAAATTTCTGAAATAATTATTTTAAAACTTACTCTTCTATCTAACGAAGTTCTTCTTCTTTCAATTGTGTTCCAAGCAGAGGAATTTCTAGGAGGTAATGGTGGTGGTGCTGCTGGGGATAAAGCTGGAGATTTAGCAGACTTTTCTACAGCTACATATACTGGATCTGAATTAACACTTTCATTTGTGCTATACATATAATCGAATGGATCAAATGGATCATATACTGATCCACTAATTTGTGATTGTGCCTCTGTTTATACAAAATACATTTTTAGAAGTTAGTATTTTAATTTATGCCATAATTTTATTGTAATTTTATATCTGTAAAAATTTGTTACCATCTTTATGTCCCTGTGCAATATCAGTGTGATTTTCAGTCTTAACAAGTAATGGATCAAATGCTTCCAGTACACTGACTCGAACATTTGTTTTATCTTCTATATGATCAAAAGAACTCAAATCTATAAGATTATTATTTGGCTTTTTCTCTATCACTTTTAACACACTTAGCTGCTCATCGTCTGTAGAGAACGTAGGCTTCTGAATACTACATACAGAAGAAGTAATACTCGGTCTGTAGTTCATAGGCAATGGAGGTATCTGTAAATGAATTATTAATATGTATTCTTGAAAAAATATATAATCTTGTTTTAGTTAAAGAATCTAATATCAAATAAAAAGTATTAACAAACTTAAAACTGCTACATCTACATGTAACTACTGAACTAATACTCAGTTTAAAACAGATATGTACTGCACTATATACCTGCATAAAAAAATAATGTTTTAAATCACAAAAATTCCATGCAGGCTGTAATTAGAATAGTCAATAAAGTTATTATAAAAATAAAAAAAATAATTCCAAATCGTATATATTATTATTAGAATTGTAAGCATTGCTTACTTGCGGTGTTGCATCAGGTACATTACTGCTAATACTACTGGATCTTGGCATGATGGGACTAATTTTTGGAGTCCCAGGTGTACAAGGTGCAGTGGAAGATCCAGGACCTGGAGAAAGTGACTGATATCGGAAGTCTCTAGAGTGATAACCGGCTGAACTACTACTACGTGCTACTTTTGCCTGCTTCTTTAATATTATGGGATGAGTCTCCCATTTTGGTTCTATTACTGATTTTCTGCCAAAGAAGAATATTTATTTTTAATTTATAATTTTTTAACTCGTAATTAGAGGAACAGTATTTCAATAACAGTAATTAAATTGAAATCTTACGATGGAGGAAGAGGAGGTGAACAATAATCAGTTAAATTATCTTGTTTTACTGGACTTGTAAAATTAATTAAGTCATCAGACTGCTCCTGACTTGTTGTAGCTGACGTTGAATTTCGTCTAGATGGAATTGGTGGTGGTGCTAATATCACAGCATTTTTAGATTGATTAGTATTAAAGGCTCCTGGCCTTGGTCGACTTCTACATTGAAATCTGTAATTTTTATTCTTAGAATTTGTACTCGATATTATTATGAACTATATTAAATATCAATATTTTAATAATTTAAGAATTTAAATAATATTATTTACTTTTCAACGTGATGTACACTATCTGTTTCTGATGTACTACTATGTACAATATTGTTTCCTTTATGTACATCGTTCTGTGTTTGTGGAATAGTACTAAATTCAGACCGTTGCTTCTGTAATTTAAATTTCTCTAACGCAAGACTTTCTAAACTCAATGCTTGTGCACATTCTAAATCCTCTTGAAATTGACGTTCGTAATCAATCACCGTAGGCCTCTGACTACTTGGGTTTCTATTGTAGTGTGACATCTACAATTAGATTAGACTCTGATTAATACATTAAACGCTAACAAAGGTAATTAGATATAAATATAAATGGATGCTCAAAAATGAAGTATGACTTGATATCAACAATACATTGATACATTACTAATAATAAAAGAATTATTTAAAACTATGACAAAACAGTAATAGATAGAGAACATGATCTGTATAATGTCATTCTAACCTATACTCGAAGTATTTATGTAAAAATACTTAATTTCAATAACTACCAATGATAAAAGAACAATAAGAATAACAAGTTTATAAAGAATATTTTTACAAGTACTAAATGACAGGTGATGAATTTTTGGCAATATAAAGAATTTGCGACGTTAAGTGAATTACAATGTATCAGTTAAAGTAATTATATTTACTCTGGTTACAAAATTATTACCGATTACAGCATGAAGGAAATAATATCATTAACATGGGATTTATTGTTTCAAAAGGTTTTGCCATCAATTAAAAGAGACAGAAGTGTTACGCGTCTACGTAAACGGATTTACAGCTTACCGTAGCATTATTTTCGTCGGATAATCTCACTGTCAGGTATCGCGAAAAATCGCCGAGCAGAAGAATAATACAGATTGCAGAAAAGCACTGTCACCTAATCAAGGAAATGACATTTTCTATCTTATTATTGGCCGTTGTGTATAAACGAATCACCGTGTACACGTAGTGGTCACCTACGCACAAATATCACTTTATGAACGAAGAGTGCACTGACTTGTAGCTGCTGCCACCAATAGCAATGTATGAGCAGAAAGCACTCAACAAATGTGTATATGTATTGACTATGTAACGAAATACTACGCGACATACGCTGGTACCCTCGTGCACGACACGTCTTACAATCAATACATAACGATAGAATAGAATGAAAAGATTGACTATACTGTGGATGTAATTGAAAGTGGTGACTGTACATAGTTAAGTAAGAAGATCAAGTCATTTCGGCGCGTTGTCTGATCAGCTGCTTAATTTGCTCAAACTGAACACCAAACCTTATTTGATTAGAGTGATTTAATACATAGAACGCGTAGGATTGCTTACAGTTAGGAATACCATTTTTGTATTATGTACAGCACATAGTGTGCTCAGACGTCTCCAATGTGCGTGTAATAATAATTATTGCTACTTTGAAATTTTAAAGTAGTCCATATTATTCTTATTTATAGTGTAAAGCATCCAAATGAATTTATTGATAATATATAAGATCGTTCTTTACCGATATTTACTAAATTAAGTGTAATTAAACATAAAATAAACTACTGCCCCTCCCATAAAGCTGTGTTCCTCAATGTAGGTAATTGCATCATTTTAACAGTACCGTTTTATGTTATATGTATTTCATTATTTTTATATTAGAAACTTTTGAGATTTTTCTTTGTCATTAATGAATTTTGTAATTTATGAACTATTTATATGCACTTCAGCAAAAAGAAACACAAAGATAAATGATACATACCTTTTAAAGCTGATATTCCTAGAAGAAAGTTGGTTATAATGTTTCACTGCCGAGATAAATTGTTAAGAAAAATCAAAAAATAATTCTTGATAATTAGACAAATTAAAATTAATCCTATAAAAAATAAAAATTATTAAATGCTTTAAATAATTTTTGTTGCATATACATTGAATTTTATGATGTTAAAATGTATGTATTAATGTTTTTATTAAACAATTTATTATTTGATAGAAATACGTATTGTGCCATACAGCAAACAGGGTTGATGGAAAACCTGTTAGTTTTTTATTGCTCAGTTTATGACTTAATTATTTAATTAACAACTTCTATTCAGATCGAAAAATTATATTTGCATGTACTATATGTTTGTAAATTGTACTTTTAATATTACAACTACACAATACTTCAATTAATAACAAAAATAATATGGAAAAAAATGTTAAAAAGAAATTCTTAAAAATGTTAGCAAGTGATATATGATCCTTAAGAAACTTAATAGCAAAATATTATAGGACATATGTTAAAGTATTACAGAGATTTACTTGTAAAATAGTTACAGAAAATACTAAAGTAAAATTTAATTTATATATTATATAAATTATATATATTACACATCACAGAAGTATATCCACAATATTTACCAAATTGTTCACAAAATAAATATTA